GTTATTTCATTAATAAGATTAGGGTTTCTCATATATTTCAACTTGGTATCAAAGCCTCGAGTTTGACATGGATTCCCTCGACTCAGTCCTCGAACTGATGACAGGAAGAGTATATATCTCACAGCGATGAGATATATAACTGTTTTTTGTTCTTGTTTCCTCTGAGAAATGAGAATTTGTTTGAGATCCTACTCTTGTTGTGCAGCAGAGGTGCTGCCGAAATTTTCACGGCACACAACAAGGGTCGGAAGAGAAGGTGAACAGGCGGTGGGTCTGAAGCCTATTCGATGGAGGAGATTATCAAGAAGTTGAACCCCGCGGAGGTGTCAACTCTGATGAAGCTAATGAAGTTGTCGGCTGGTGAGAGCGCGACAAAACCATCGAAGAAGTTGGAGCTTCCGACCATCGATCTGAAGCTTGATGAACCGAGTACTTACCTGAGATGGTCGCGACGGGTGAGATACACCCTTGCAGGGAGGAATCTGGAGGGTTATCTGACAGGAGAGGTGACAGAGTCGGAGGAGGAATCTGGAGGGTTATCTGACAGGAGAGGTGACAGAGTCGGAGGAGGACTCGGAGGGAAGAGATGAGTGGAAGGCCACTCATATGTTGGTATACATCTGGCTCCTCAACTCGTTGGTCCAGTCGATCACCGCCACAGTGGATGGCATTGAGAAGGTGAAGGACATCTGGGAAAAGTTGAGAAGGACCTATGATGGAGTGGGGAATAACCTGAGGGTGTTCCAGATTAAGGGTGAGATCGACGCCACAGTCCAGGGAGATAGGACTGTACATGAGTATGCCACAAAGCTGGAACGGCTGTGGCTAGATTATGATCACTTCTCACCTCGGGCGACCTGCAAGGACCCGGGATGTAAAGAACAGGAGACCTTTCTATAGGAGAGGACTATGGTGTTTCTCAAAGGATTGACATCAGAGTTCGCTCAGCGAATCGCATTGCTGCTAGCTCAGCCGAAGATTCTCACGCTTGAGGAGGCTGTCTCTGCTATGATCCAGGAGGAGACTCGCATTTGGCTGCAGGCGGGGACAGGTGAACTTCCTGTGGTGAAGTCAGCACTGGCAGCCTCTAACAACACTGGATCTAGGGAAGAGACTCGACAGTGCTACAACTGCGGTGCAGTGGGTCATCTAAGGCATTCTTGCACCAAGCCACCCAAGGAAGGAGATTCGGGTGAACATGGACAGTTCGGAGGTCGTGGTCGTGGCCGTGGGGGTCGATGAGGTGGAAGAGGAGCAGGGAATCGGGCGAATCTGACGGTAGCAGAGGAAGAAGAAGCTGAGGTGGTCTTTACAGAGGAGGATCGTGCTCTCCTGACAATACTCAGGAGAAAACAACAAGTAGCAGGGGATGGAGACTTGAGGAGTGGGACTGAGGAGGTATCCACTTCGTTCTTCGCCAGAGGCAACACTGCTACCTATGCTCATCCGACCAAAGGTACTGATGACATACATGCTCTTGCTTCTATGTCTCCCGACATATCATCAGAGTGGATAGTCGACTCCGGTGCGTCTCGCCATGTGACAGGTAATGCTAGTGAGTTCTCATCATATACTCACTTAGCATCGCCTGATAGTATTCAAACAGTTGATGGTACGTTTCAGCCGGTGGTTGGTAAGAGTACAATCGATTGTACTGGTTCTGTAACTTTGTCTAATATTTTGCATGCTCCTTCCTTTCCAGTCAATCTTTTGTCCATTAGTTCTATCATCCTTCAACTAAAATGTATTGTTTCTTTTGATATTCCCAAGGTGATTTTCCAGGAGAAGGGGACAGGACCTAGACTTGGGACTAGCACATGGCGTAATGGACTGTGGTATCTAGATCGTGAAGGGCTAGATTCAGCTTTGATGTCAATGGTAGAGAGAGCAGGAGTAGGATCTGAGATGAGTGCTGAGAGTGTGTTGATGCTTCATCACCAACGCTTGGGACATACTTCTTTCGGTGTTTTAAGTAGGTTGTATCCATATTTATTTGAGAAAGTAAATAAAGAGAAACTTGTGTGTGATGCATGTAAGTTGGGAAAGCTTACTAGAAGCTCTTATGTTAGTTCTGATCATAGGAGTTCCCATGCATTTGATATGATAGATTCAGATGTGTGGGGGCCTTGTTCTACAAGTTCTATGAATGGATACAAGTATTTTGTTACCTTCATTGATTGCTTCTCTCGCGTTACTTGGTTATACCTGATGAAGAATAAGAGTGAAGTGTTTGGCTGCTTTCAAAACTTTCATAGGAATGTTCAGACTCAATATGGAGCAGTGGTGAAGGTATTGAGATCTAATAATGGGACAGAGTACACCAACAGAGTGTTTGGAGAATACTTGTCATCTTAGGGAATACAACACCAGACTACATGTCCATACACACCAGCTCAGAATGTGGTAGCGGAAATGAAGAACAAGCATCTTTTAAAGGTTGCTAGAAGTATGATGATCTCCACGAATGTCCCAGAAACATTGTGGGGGCAAGCAGTGTTGACTGCAGCGGCGCTGATCAACAGAATGCCCTCGAGAGTACTGAATTGGAAGTCTCCGTGTGAGACATTGAAAGGAGATAATGGTGGGATTCTTCCACTGAAGGTATTTGGCTGTGTATGTTTTGTGAAGGATAACAGACCATCCGTCGGGAAGCTTGCCCCTAGAGCGGTGAAGTGCATTTTTGTGGGATATTCTGCTACTCAAAAGGAATATGTTTGCTGGAGCCCGGTGGAGAAAAGGCTGTTCGTGAGCATGGATGTGTACTTTCATGAATTTGAGTCATATTACACATAGAAGGTACCCTTATCCGTTGGTGACTCGCCCAATACTGGAAGTATGAGGCGAGAAGGGGAGAATGATGAGAGGCAGATGAATAATGTAGAGAATAATGTGGAGAAATCGATTTCTCTAACGATTCCTTGGGAAGGAGAATTGGTTGAGAATGAGCAAGAGAATAAAGAAGAAGAGGATAAGGAGACAAGAGGTGTTAGGCTCACGGCTCAGGGGGGAGCTACTTGCCTATAGTAGGAAGGAGAAGCAAATTGTGAAAACAGTACCTACAGTGCCACTAGTGCCAGGTCCCTTATCAACGCCTGTCCCGAATCCTGAGACACCTACACCACCATCAGATTCCTCCTATGGTGATATCATTCCTCTCCTTACTCCTCCCACACCAATGTCAGTACGGAGGACTACTCGCAGCAATGCGGGACATCCTCCTGATAGATATGGTTGGGATCTTGCCCAGTTTGTATCATATTCTAATATCCACCCTACACATAGAGCATTCATTGCATCATTGGACTCTGTTATTGTACCTAACAATTGGCAGGTTGCTAAGAAGGACCCAAAGTGGAAAGCAGCTATGCATGAGGATCTAGGAGCTCTTGAGAAGAACCGCACTTGGGAGCTAGTAAAATTACCAGAAGGGAAGAGAGCAGTTGGGTGCAAGTGGGTCTTCACTGTGAAGCAGAATCCAGATGGACAAGTTGAGCGCTACAAGGCTCGTCTGGTGGCAAAAGGGTATAGTCAGACATATGGCATCGATTATGATGAGACTTTTGCACCGGTGGCGAAGATGAGCACTGTTCGGACCTTAATCTCTCTGGCAATAAATGGTGGATGGAAGTTACACCAACTAGATGTGAAGAATGCATTTCTTCATGGAGATCTAGTGGAGGAGGTATACATGGAGATACCACCAGGATTCGGTACAGATCAGACAGTGGGAAATGTCTGCAGATTGAAGAAGTCTCTCTATGGTCTGAAGCAGTCTCCTCGTGCTTGGTTTGACAGATTCAGGAGGGTTATGATTAGTATGGGGTACCAGCAGATCAACGCTGACCATACCGTGTTCTTTCGACGAAGTGGAGGCCACATTACCATGCTGGCGATATATGTGGATGATATGATTATTACAGGAGATGATGAGAAGAAGATTGCCAAACTCAAAGTAAGACTGGGTAAGGAATTCGAGGTGAAAGATCTTAGTTTGCTTCGATACTTTCTTGGAATAGAGATAGCTCGAGGAGCGGAGGGAATCGTCCTATCCCAGAGAAAGTATGCACTGGATCTTCTCAAAGAGACAGGGATGTTAGGGTGCAAACCTGCAACTACACCGATCGACCAGAAGTTCAAGCTAGGTGCTGAGGCTGGAGAACCAGTTGATCGTGACAGATACCAGAGGCTGGTGGGAAGGTTAATCTATTTGAGTCACACACGCTCTGATATCTCTTTTGCAGTGAGCATTGTGAGTCGCTACATGCACGATCCGAGGAAGGGTCATATGGACGTTGTGTACCAGATTCTGAGATATTTGAAGAGTGCCCCTGGAAAGGGGCTGATATTCAGAAAGAATGGACATGTGAGCATCGAGGGTTATTGCGACTCAGATTGGGCTAGCTGTGCTGATGACAGGAGGTCCACCTCAGGATACTGTATCTTTATAGGAGGCAACTTGATCTCGTGGAAGAGCAAGAAGTAGTCAGTGGTGGCGAGGTCAACAGCTGAAGCAGAGTATAGAGTTATGGCCTTGGGAGTCGCGGAATTGTTTTGGTTGAAGAGTATGTTGGTGGAGCTGAAACTGGATTAAGGAGCAAAGATGAAGCTGTGGTGTGATAACAAGTCAGCCATCAGTATCACTAATAACCCAGTGCAGCATGATAGAACCAAACACATCAAGATCGATAAGTTCTTCATCAAAGAGAAGTTGGACAGTGGATTACTGGAGTTAAGTCATGTTTCAACTAAAGACCAGGCAGCAGATTGTCTGACTAAGGGAGTTAGCTCAGTAGATATAGTTAGAGGATGTGACAAGATGGGCTTAGTGGATATCTTTCGCCCATCTTGAGGAGGAGTGTTGACATATTAGAATAGTTAAGGGGTTATTTGTAAGATGTATTTGTAGGGGGCCTATATAAGCCCATGTTATTTCATTAATAAGATTAGGGTTTCTCATATATTTCAACTTAAACAATAACAAAGACACGTTATTTTGTTACCTGATATTTTTCACGGTATCTCTTCACTGCAGCAGCATGAGAGAGGATCATGGTGTGGGCAGCAATGTAGGGCTCTGTAGCAGAGTTACCACCATTAGTACAATTTGAGCATCTTGCAGGGGCAAAGCTTCCATCATTGTATCCAAGATCAGCGGTCACTCTTGGCTCATTAAATGTCATCCAGTGTTTAACTCTGTCTCCGAAAGTTTTGAAGCAAAAATCCGCATAGTCTGCATAATCCTTCCTGCAACAAATTTGGAAATCCACTCTTAATATTTTCCTATGTATTTGTGATCATTTCAATTCCGTTAACTTTGTCATGAACACTAATAAAGTCAGTGTTAAGTTTATAGTTAATGGAGCATGGAGGAATACATGAAGACCTAAGAAAACTTTGTCGGAAACAATAAGAAGGCAACATACAAGAGTGATTAACTTTATGGAGAAAATATTCATGAGCAAAACCAAAATGGAAGAATAAGATCAGGTATCAATCCCAAAAATTTTGCTCCTTTAGATGTATGATTTGATGAATTAAGCAATTTTGTTCTTCTAATATATTGGGATTCGGATCCTTTTATCAAACTAATTTTTTTTATTCCAATTGTATTCTTTAATAAACTTATTTCTTCTGTTAGCATAACCAGCATCGTATTCTTTAATCTCTAACTATCTTGAGAATGTTAAATATAGTAGACAAACATTATTGATCTTCTTACTTATAATCTCACATTGTTCGTAATGCTAGAACTACTCTTATTCTTGTATATAAAACTCTTACTACAATGAAGGATTTCATTCACTTTCTCCCAGTCCTCTATACAGAACTGATGACTTACTGCTTAGACATAAATACACACCGTAAATATTGGAATATAATAAACAGTAAACTGATTGGAAAATCCAAAATATTTGGGAAAAATACAAACAAAGAATTTCGGACTATATACAGAAAACTTACACGATTCTTTGACTTAACCAGCCCATATACTTCTCCTCAAGTGCTTCCGGGACATCATAATGATGTAAATTTGCATAAGGAGTAATGCCTGCAAAAAGATATTTCCACTATAATCTAAAGTTTGTAATAAATTAATGTAAATATTATTTAGCATTGAGTAAGAATTCACCTCGTTTTATCATGTAATTTATCAAACGGTTGTAATATGCCACACCTTTCCGATTTATCTTCCCTGTGCCATCTATACGTATGTAACATTAAATAAAAAAATTCATTAATCGGATAGATTTATAGAAAAAATAAAGGAAACAATCAGTAAATAAACTTGTTTCTAAGAAAAGTGTATTATATACTTGGAAAAATCCGTGACCATGAGATTGAGAAACGATATGCATCAAAATTCATCTTCTTCATGATGTTCACATCTTCCTGCACCACATCACCAATAAGAAGTAAAATCATAAAAAATTAGGAAACATGGCTAATATATTAATTTTATATCGATCCCTCTAATCACAAAAACTTAGTGTTTATCATGTCATGTGAGTTAAAATTTTATAGCTTATTTTTTAGGGTAAATTACACTAAACCCCAAGAACTTTCATTGTTTCGTAGTAAACCTCTAATCATGTCATACTCTCTTTAAAAGTGTAAAATTGGAAAAAAGTTTTCATAATTAATATTACCCTTACCCTTTTAGATATTAAATATTATAATCCTAACACTGCAACTTTAAGTATTCTAAATATGAACAGCTTTAAACTTCAAACCTAATTATTCAATCTCACGTTAATTAATATCAAAATTTGCAAAAGCACCCCTAAATATTAAAAATTTATAAAAATTTTCTCAAAATTATAAACCTACAAATAATACAATAAAAATCTAGGAATTACAAATAGTCCCATGAAAATTATGAAATTTGCACAAAATAGCCTAAAATTTTTGTAAATTGTAAAAAACTAAAATACTTAAAATTTATAAGAATACCCTCAGAATTTCAAACGTAACAGTACATTAAAAATATCCAAATTATAAACAACCACATAAACAATTTGTAGTTTGAAGAAAATATGTAAAAGTTTTTAAAAATTTGTAAAACACACTCAAAACTATATATTGAAAATGGCTTGAGAATTTCAAACCTAACAATACAATAAAAATATATGAATTACAAATAGCACCCTGAATAATTTATAATCTGTAGAAAACACACTAAAAGTTTCAAAAATTGTTAAAAAATCCTAAAAACTCAAAATTTATAAAGAATTAGCCTAAGAATTTTAAACCCACTAAAATATATTGAAGAGATAGGAAATACAAACAACCCCCAGAAAAATTTAGAATTTCAAAAAAAATATCTTGAGAGTTGTAAAAATTGCAAAAATAGCCTAAAAATTTAGGATTTACAAAAAAAATCTCAAAACGTCAAGGATGTAAATAGTACATGGAAAATCGATAAATTTGAAATTTAAAAAAAACACCTGCAGTATAGAAACTTGCAAAGAACACCCTAAGAATTAAAAAAATTCATGGGGATTTTTGGAATTCTTTGATTTTCAATACAATGTTTAAAACTTTGCTATTTCTAGCATATGTTTATAATTTTTTTAAATTTCTAGGACATATTCTATGATTTTTGAAACTTTTGAGTTTTTTTTGTGGTGTACTAATGTAATGCATAGATACGTCCAACAATGATGAAGATCTTTATGAGGAAGTGGTTGTTAAGAGATCATGATTGTAGAAGTATGGACATCAATTATTCTAGGCAATAGATTATGTATGCAAGAAGTTGCAGACAATCTACATAGTAATTTGGCCTTATGTGGAGATGGATTCAATTAACACATCTAAACAAAGTCAACCAGTTAAACAATTTGCAATCTAAAAAAAACACCCTAAAATTTTAAAAATTTGTAAAAGAACATTCAAAACTCAAATTTTACAATCAAAATATTTTAAAATTTTTAAACCTACAAACAATGCAATGAACATATAAGACTTACAAAAACCATATAGTTCAGTATCACTTATCATACATTGCTCTTTTAGAAACTAAAGTCAAAGAAGTAAACATTCAAAATATAGCAAGGAAGGTTGTTGTTAATTGGAAGTATATATCAAATGCTAGGATTCCTGGAAAGGCTAGAATCATAATTTTATGGGATCCTAACATTCTAGATATCCATTTGATTACTAGCTCAGATCAACAGATCACCTGCTCTGTAAAATCTCTTGATGGGAGAATTGACTGCTTCATCTCTTCAATTTATGGTTTCAATAATCTTCTGGGAAGGAAAAGTCTTTGGTCTGATCTTGGCCAGCTATATCATTCTTTTGGCAATTCTCCTTGGTTACTTTGTGGGGATTTTAACACAATGATAAGCAATGAGGAGAAAATTGGGGGAGTAGCTCTTTCAGAAACTGATACGAATGATTTCTGTGATTTCATTTAGTACTGTCAGCTTGTTCACCTTAAAAATTCTGGATGTTTCTTCACATGGAACAATAAGCAAGAAGCAAACACAAGGGTGTGGAGTAGATTGGATAGAGCTTTGGTTAATGATTCTTGGATCAACAACTTTAATTCTAGTCATGTGGAATTCTTATTGCCTAGTTTCTCTGACCACTCTCCAGCTCTGGTCTCAATTCATGAGGACTTCCTACAAGGAAAAAACCTTTCAAGTTCTTCAACATGTGGACTAAGCACACAAGTTATCTGTCAGTTGTGTCTGAAGCCTGGAAAGTTCAGACTGAGGGTTATAAGATGTTTTCAGTCTTTACAAAACTAAAAAATCTGAAAAATGCTCTGAAGGACATCAACAAAAGACATTATCTTAACATAAGTGAGCAAGTGCTAAGGGCAAAGAAAAATTTGGATACAGTTCAGGAAAAACTGCAGAAAGATTATCTCAATGCTGTTCTGATTAACCAAGAAAAAGAATGCTTAGCCTCATACAATAAATTACTGGACTGTGAGATGTCCTTTTACCAACAGAAGGCAAGAATTGAGTGGGGCATAAAGGGTGACAGATGTTCAAATTTCTTCCATTCTATTATAAAATCCAAGAGACACCATAGTAGAGTGACAGTGATCTACAATAATTCTGGAGATAGGATTACAGATGGAGAGGGGATTAAGAGTGAACTAATCTCTTTTTACAAAAGCCTCCTGGGGACTAAAGTAAAGACAACTCCTCCAGATATCAACATCATCAAGAATGGGCCTTGTTTAAATGATACGCATATCAGATACCTATCCACAAACATTTCGAAAGAGGAGATTAAATCTGCAGTTTTCTCTATGCCTGATGGGAAAGCTCCAGGGCCTGATGGGTATAATGCAGTTTTCTACAAAACAGCTTGGGCAATCATTGGTGAGGAAGTTACACAGGCTATTCAAGAATTTTTCAGTTCTGGAAAGATGCTGGGCATGGTAAATTCTACCTCAATTACTTTGATTCCTAAAATTCAATGCCCCAAAACTCCATCTGATTATAGACCAATATCTTGCTGCAACTGTTTGTACAAAATCATCTCAAAAATTTTGGCAAACAGGGTAAAAACTGTTATGGGTCATTTGGTAAACGAAGCTCAGAGTGCCTTTGTGAAAGGTAGGCAAATATCTAGTAACATTCTGCTTGCACATGAGTTGATCAAAAACTATGGGAGGAAGCATATTTCACCTAGAGTAATGCTCAACATTGATATAAGGAAAGCATTTGACACTTTCAGCTGGGATTTTCTGGAGGATATGCTGCAGGGTTTGGGCTTTCCTAGCAAGATGACAAAATGGATTATGGCATGTATCTCTACTCCAAAATTTTCAATTTCTTTAAATGGTACCCTCCACGGCTATTTCAAAGGGGAGAGGGGACTGAGGCAAGGAGACCCTCTATCTCCTTATCTTTTTATCTTAGGGATGGAATACCTATCTAGGAGGTTGGATAAGTTGAAGAATGAAAAGAATTTCAAGTACCATCCTAGATGTGGGAAATTAAAAATTACCCATCTTGTTTTTGCGGATGATCTTCTATTATTTGCTAAAGGAGATATTCTCTCAGTGCAAAACTTGAATCAATGCTTGAGTGATTTCAGTGCTGCCACAGGGCTTGAAGCAAATCCTGAGAAAAGTTCAATATTCTATGGAGGTGTATCTGATTCTATCATAAAATCAATTGGAGACTGTCTGGGTTTTAAAGAAGGGGTATGGCCTATCAAATATCTTGGAGTTCCCTTATTACACAAAAGGCTATCCTATGTAGACTGCCTCCCTCTCCTCAATAAAATTTCAGGCCAATTTCAGAACTGGATGAAGTGCAAAACTTTATCTTATGCTGGCAGAATTCAGGTGATAAAAAGTGTTATACTTGGAGTTCAAATCTATTGGACTTCAAGTTATATTTTACCTATGAAAGTCATTCATAAAATTGATGAACTTTGTAGAAATTATTTGTGGGGGAATAAAGATCAATCTCGCAAAACTGCACTTGTATCATGGGACAAAATCTGTTTATCCAAGGATCAAGGTGGCCTGGGTATTTTCTCTGCAGTAATTTGGAACAGAGCCTCAGCTTTGGGGAATCTATGGTATATTCATGTCAACAAAGAGCTGCTGTGGATTAGATGGATTCATGGAAACTATTTAAAAGACAAAAGCATTTGGCAAGTGCAGGCAAAAAATGGGGATTCATGGACATGGAAACAAATGTTGAAGAATAGAGACAGTTCACTGATTCACTGTGGAGGGGAAGCCAACCTAAGTCACCTCATTGCTGCATGCTATAAAAACACCAAGGTTCAACTCTCTTCCCTGTACAGGATTCTTTCCCCCAATGTCAGCAAGGTGCAATGGCGGAATACTGTTTGGGGGGACATGAACTATCCAAAGCATTCTCTAATTTGTTGGCTTGCTATCCAAGATAGGTTGCTAACAAAGGATAGACTGATGCGGAGAGGAATTGTGACAGAAAACAAGTGCAGTTTATGTTCAAACTCAGGTTCGGAGAGCAGGGACCACTTATTCTTTAACTGTCCTTTTTCTAGTGAAGTTTGGAATCAGGTGATGAATTGGTTACATTTTAAATGGAGATCTTGCAGCTGGAATTGTCTTCTTGATTGGTTTTGTACCAAGCTTAGAGGCAAAGGGTTTAAAGTGAAAGTAAAGAGGTTGGCTTTTTCTTCCACACTATATAAAATCTGGTGTGAACGGAACAGCAGGATTTTCAAGCAACAATGTAAAAGCAAGGATCAGTTGGTGAAGGAGATCAAAATGGATATACTAATCATTATCCTCAACAGCTCATTGCCGGAAGAATTCAAAGATTGGATTAGTTCCCTGTAAATAGATAGATGGATGATATTCTCTGATTTTTTGTAATTTTTTGATATCTCACACAGGAGGAACTTGATGTACTTAAAA